CGAGGGAGATAAATTTGCATCAAATCAAAAATGACATGTGTCGGAAAAAGGGGATAATCGCAGCGGCGAATAACGGAAAAAAATAAATGAGGGGCAAAAACAGTCTGAGGAGTTTGTTCCAGAAAATCTAAAATGAAATCGACTTCTAAAGAAGTAAAAGTTGCTGGGAGACAAAATTGTTGTGAAGTATGTTCAGTTTGGCAATGTTGACATAGGGAAACAGTATACTGGTTATCATGGCGTGCCAAATATGCCTTATAAAAATCACCAGAAATTGAAAATAAAAAGGGTGAAACTGGGTGAGAAAAACCATATGAAGGGATACAAACGAAATGAGTTCTCTCTGACGACTCCGCCAATTGAGAGATGGGACGAGAGAGGTCGAAATCCATGGCGCGAAAATCTGGAACAGACATGAAGAAAAAAGCGAAGCGAAAATTGATGTAGTTTGTGGTATAATCGCAAATGAAGTATGTGGACGGATATAAACTAAGGAATAGCACACAGTTGAAAAGAATTCGTTGGAAAAACTACGTAATACGCTGGTCTGAAGGTCAGTGAAAGAGAAGACGTTGAAAATAGATTAAAATTTGATTTGCGCAAAAAATAAACACAAGTGAAGGAACAACATTGGTTGATTCATTTGGCGAATAGAAGCCGAATCATGGCGAAGTGAGAACTGTTTGAACAACGAGCATACATAAGCGATAGCAGCCCTTGAAATATACACATCAGCGTGAACAATTAAAAAGAAGATATGAATATTCTTATAGCGGAACCGGCTTGTTACGAGTAGGACACACCGAATTTTGATTTTGTGAAGTGGCTGGTTGTAATTCGTGTAATTCATGGTCGTCAGCGTTGGCTGTAGCCGTGTCCTTACGTTGCGCGGAGGCGCGTTTGCGTCGAGACAAAACAGTGGTTGACATCGATGGAAAGGATTTTGGCTTAATGGAGCAACAGTATAGAATTATGTAAACAAAACTATGAATGCATACAAGACCGAAAGTAAAATAAGTAAGCCAATCGTTTAGGGTGGTAGATTGAACCTTATGTAGGTGGGATATCTCGTCTTTTAACGTTGCTAACCGGGTAGTAAGTTGCCCATCTAGTATACGAAAAGTGTGGTCTAAAGAAGTCATTGTTTTGTTGTCGAATTGAAGCGGCGGTGTCAGATTCAATGAGCTGTAATGTAATCGCAAAGTTTTGTCGTCGTTATGTGTCCACGGAATGTAGCGAAATGATTTATGAGAGAAAAGTGGTAGATGAAAGGTGATGCGGTCCGGACAAGTTCCCAGACCGGTTTGCTGAGAGGCGAATGTGAGATCACAAGGAAAATGATAAACGATAAGAGGAGAAATACGTAGAATGTGCGAAGAACTGTTGGTGGTATTGTAAACGTTAATTGAACCATGCTGTGTAGATAAGTAATAACGTCCTCCTAAATGAAACAATTCGTTGATATTTGAGCAATCGGGTGCCTTTTGGTGGCGGCGAACGAAATTAAATTGAGTGTCTCTGTGCCAGGGCAGGCCCAACCAACTAGTGTCATTGACCAGTTGTAAAATGTGTTGAGGGCAAACAAAGGTTTCATCAGTTCGATAACATTTACCCAAAAGGGAACGATGT